CATAATTAATCATTCATATAACTCATATTTAGTTTTAAAAGCAATTTTCCACTCATCACCTTCCTACATTTGAATTTGGCGGTATCCACTTTTAAAGTCTATTTTACTAAACATACAAGCACCATGCAATTCATCCAACATATTATCTAACCTAGGAATATGATGACAATACTTTACCATTATGTTGTTGATGACTCTACAACCATGCACATCCTCCAAGTTTCATCCTTCTTCGGCACAAGTAGCACTGGAACGGCACATGGACTTTTGCTTTCCTTCACGTACCCCTTATTCATCAATTCCTTCACTTGCCTCTGGAGTTCCTTTGTCTCCTCTAGTTTACTTCTATAAGCTTGTCGGTTTGGAATAACAACTCAAGGAACGAAGTCAATTTAATGATCAATACCTCGAATGGGTGGTAATCCACTAGGCATGTCCTTCGGAAACACATCTTCAAATTCCTGCAATAAAAAGATAGCCAAACTAGGGAGGAGTGTGTTAAGTTTCTCAAAATTGAGGACCGATTCCTTATAAACCAACAATATCATTTGTTGTATCTCATTTATTGCATTTTTCAACTCACACCCATTTTCAAAGAAATTTACTTTCGGCTTGTCTTTCCTCTCAGAAGGCTCTCTTTCTTTTCCCTCATGTGGCTTCCCTCTCTTTTGCTCTCCACTAACCACCTCATCATTTTTTTTTCATGTCACCATCTCACTATTTTCTTTCTTTTTTCTGATTCTTTCATTCTCCTTTCATCCTCATTTTTCAACTTAATTTGGTCTTCATACACTTGTGCCAGTGTCAATGGCACAAGCGTAATGGACATCCCATCCTTAACAAAACTATAGCGATTCTTGTACCCATCATGAATGACTTTCCTATCATATTACCATGGTCTACCCAACAAAGTATGCCCTGCATGCATAGGTACCACATCACACATAATTCCATCCTTATATCTACCAATGGATAAACTAATCAACACCCTCTTATTCACCTTAATTTATCCACTATCATTCAACCATTGTAACCTATATGGCTTAGGGTGTCTCAATAAGGTTAATCCCAATTTTTCAACAAGATTTGTGCTAGCCACATTAGTACAACTTCCCCCATCAATGATCATACTACATATCGTGTTGTTAAAATGGCACTGTATATGAAATATGTTTTCCCTTTGCTACTCCAAGTCATATGTCTTGATTTAAGTGTTGAGAACTCGTCTCGTGACCAGTAACTCGCCAACAGCAAATTCAATGTCATTTCCTTCACTAACCTCTTCCAATGGTGGCATGCCTTCATAATCATCCTCACTGTCACTCACCACATGTACTATCATCATTCTTTTATTTGGACATTGAGAAGCGATGTGTCCGATTTCCAAGCACCTCAAGCACTTGATATCCCGATTTCTAGCTGGTTGTGGCTCTGTTTTGGAAGTTGTTCTGCTAGCTCCATCATCTTTTCCCTTTGGTAGCTCAATCCTTCCTTTTGCAATAGTTCCATCATCTTTGTTATCCCATTTTGGTTTTCAAGACGAATTAAACCCCGAAGCACCCAATGGTTGCCTAGATGTCCCCTTCCTCGTCAACTGTTTCTCCACCTTCATGGCCACATGCAACATGTCTTCAATTTCCACATAATGCTGCAACTTCACAACATTAGAAATGTCTCTGTTCAACCCATTTAAGAAATAAGTCATGGTGGCTTCTCGATCCTCTTCCACATTCGCCCTAATCATCAAAATTTTCATCTCCTTATGGTAGTCTTCCACACTCTTCGACCCCTGATATAATCCTTGCAATTTTGGTACAGCTCCCTGTAACAGTGATTACGTACGAACCGCTTCCTCGTGATAATTTTCAACGCATTCCAAGTATTAACCACTTGATTTCACCAAGTTATAGCGTAGTCAACAAACTCAAGAATAGCAATTTTCACCTTCTTTTCCTCCGAATAATTATGGCAATCAAATATTAACTCCACCTTCTTCTCCCACTCTAGATAAGCCTTCGGATCACTCCTTCCCTTAAACAGTGGAATTAACATTTTAATATTGCCTACATTCATATCCACTTCATCTCCAAAATGACTTCTACCCCTTCTTTCAAACCTACCACCTCTACTTCACATTCTACCCATATCACCTACCATCGATTCACCATCATCCATATCGGTGCTAAATCCATAATCATCATGCATATCCATCCCAGGTAGGGATGGCAAAAAAACCCGATAAATCCGATACCCGTGGGGCCTAGCCCCAAACGGGGCGGGGATAACCCGTTTAATCGGGGTAACGAGGCGAGAAATTTTACCTCGGGGCGGGGACGAGAAATGGGCGCCCCGCCCCGTTAAAATTTATTTTTTTTAGAATTCAATATTTTAAATGAAAAATTTTACAAAATTTCATTAGTTCTAATAGAAAATAGAAACTAAAATTATTTGTCTAAATCTAATTAATATGGGCAATAAAAATAAATTATCGAAAACTAAAAAAAATAATTAAACGGGTAATAAACGGGGCAAGGACCATTCCCCGCCCTGCCCTGCCTTAAATGGGTAATGGGGCGAGGACGGGACATGGAATTTTTTAATGGGGAGGCTCCCCATCCCGTCCCATTGCCATCCCTAATCCTAGGCTCCCGCCTACCCGATCTCCTTGCATTTGATTGTCTCCTATGAAGGTTTCCCATTGATGTATCTAATCTATCAGGCCTTTCACTAACATCGTCAAACACCCTCTCAAACCGTCTTATTACATCATCTGCCATGTGGTTTTGATTCGGCTATCTGTTTGTTGAAACCCTCTTTGTCTAACATCCTAATTCTATTGAGTTTCTGCCTTACAAATGATCACTCATGTATCACCCAATTATTGGTTTTTTTCCCTCTATTAATCTCGCTGCTCTGCATTTTACCTCTCAATGTTTTCGCCCAAGTATCTCAAAGAATAAAGTGAACTCAACCAATATTGTATTCACATGGATCCAACTGAGTATTGATCATGAATTGTGATAGGAGAAGGAAAAAAAAGATGAAAAATGACTCATAAACACTAAAGAAGAGAAAGGATGAAGAATGAATTCAACGGACTATTTAAGAACATCAAATGGAATAAATTTTGAATGATCCTTTTTTTTTTACTCAAAGCTGAAATCTAAACTGATGGAAATTTTTCGGTAATAACAATATTTTTTCAGATTTTTTTACCTCGGAAATTCAACTACAAATCCAGAATTAATCCGAAAATAACTTTGACTCTTTTTTTTGTAATTTTCTGGATCAAAACTCAAGAAATAAGACGGACCCGAAGAATGCGAAGAACAATGGAAAAAAAAAAAGAAAAACAAAACTCAAACAAGAAACAAAGATATAACCTGATTATTTTGGAGTCTTGGTCTGATACCAATTGATGAGAACTATGTAGCAACAAACACTATGCAACCCACAACGAGATTGAAGATCCCAAGAAAGCCCAAAGAATAATCTCGATTTTGAGTTTGAACCAAGCAACCAAATAAAAACGAAGTTTGAATGACATCGACTACACAACACGTGATCCGCACTCGGTGTTGAACACTACAAGAATCCTCTTGATAATTTTAGAATGTTCTAAGAAGAATAATGTTTGAAAAGCACAATAGCCTCTCAAATACATCTCAATAGTAAATTTGTCAAAAGGTTTATATATTGAATAATGAAGTCCTATTTATACTAATGATCAAAAAACCTAGTAAAAACGTAATTAGCTTACAAAATATTGTAAAATTGGAAAAAAAAATAGAATTCTAGTCTAACAAGGAAATTCGCGAAAAAATTAAAGTTCTCGTCTCTCGACATGTTTTTGTGCAATTGCAAGCCCATAAGTACTATGCGCTCATTTTATTTTTAGGAATTTCGTGCCGTTTTCGGAATGTACTTATGGGCAAAAATCCAACAACCGAGCTGAAAGTTATGCACGTTTTCATCCATATTGCTCATTTGCTGCTTGAATCGGGTTGATCCATTTGATTTCTTTGATCCATTTGGTTTCTTCTTCCGAACCCAATATGAAACTTATTCCTTGACTTGTTAACTTTGAAACTTCATCCACCATAGCTTGAATAAGCAATCACATTGCCTCTTTCGCCTGCTTTGCCCTTGAACGTGTCATCGAGCCTCCTTCGGTAATCAACGGATTCCGTCCCGAGCTTGTCCTCGTCGAGCTCGACTCCGGATCATATCACAAGCCAAAACTTAATTTTCATTCATTCATCATCTATCTAAATCATAATGTCAAGACCATATAAATAGTAAAAACCTAGCTAAGTGATAGGTTTTGGCCAACTCACTACTGCAAACCCAATGATAGAAAATATAAATGATAAAACCCAATAACAATAAAAATTAAGTCTCCATGATGTCCGCATCACAACATCATCAGCATTGCCACTTGTAGTAGGAACAGAAGCATTCTGGACCACAAGTTTCGGAAATGCGCCATCTTGATCTACAGGTGGCCGATTGGAATCTAAAATTTCAACATCTTCTCAACAACCGCGATGTTTCCTATGAACATTTACAGCTTTCAAATCAATGGAAGGGATGAAAATTTCGGCCCAAAAACCCAAGCCGGGTTTTGCTGCCCTGCTTATATAGTTTTATTTTAAAAAATTGAAATTTGTTAAAATCCACCTTAGCCCATCTTTTTATGCCCAAACTAATTACCCTAGTCCATTAGCCCAATTCCGAAATTACCCTAGAATTTAGAAGGAAAAAAATATAAAAAAGATAGAAACGGGGTGGGGGATTGCCACCACCTTAAAGCGCGGATCAGAAGGGGGTGGGGCAGGGCAATCCCTGGATGCATCGTCTCACCCCCATTGCCATCCCTAATTAATAGATGGCAAGATAACAACAAAAGCCTCACCAAAAAGTAAAGCCAACCTTCTTCCTTGTTGGAGTTGAACTTTTCCATTTCAATCTTCATGTGATCGAAATGAGCTTTATAGCTGATGGAACATAATTTAGCCTCAGCCTCGAGCCACAAGTTTTTAAAGAGAAGCACTTGCGGTTCCATCATCATAGAGGAAATTAGGACCTTCTTTATAGCCTACAAGCCAAAACAATGCCTAATGAATATTTGTGTACGTGGATGTGGTTTTAATTTTGTATTTTTTTCAGAACAATGATCCTCACAAACCTACTATTAGAAGCTAATTGCGTGTTTGGTATACAACATTAGACCCCACGGTACAATGAACAAGATTTTAGCTTCTTTCTCTTTCACAATATTGTTTAATCCACCATATCAAACATGCTAGAATAGAATTAACTTCAACATGGCGCAATAATGGGAAGATTGCACATAGGATGTGGAGGATCGATACCCTCCCCCTCTCCTTTTTGCATGTAATAAAATTTATTTTTAAGAATAAAAAATTAAGTCACCTTAATTAGATAAATAAATAATCAAAACATTAAATATATAATATTTCAATATATTTTGATAAAAGAAATATAGAAATATCTATTGTGTAGTATCATCAATATGTCATACCTTTAAAAAGTAAATAACCAATCAATATATTTAAAATTTATTTACAAATTAATCTTTATATGTGTGTGTGTGTGTGTGTGTAATTTAATCACAAGTTGATATATATATAATTGAATGAGAAAAAAAAAAGAAAAAAAAAGTTATAAGAATTTATTAATTACAATTTAATCTTTTTCTCGAAGAAAATGGAGAGAAACAATAAAAAGGAGGAAAAGTGAAAAGAGAACAAATATAACGGATAGAAGAAAAATAATAACCATGAATTTAAGGTTCATAGAAAAATATTGAAAGGACAAAAATTCATATTAAAAGATTTTTTTTTTTTTGTGAAAATAAGCCAAAATCTCGGCATAATGGGATACAAATTTTAATATTTTTGTACTTTCTGCTTAAAAGTTAGTACTCAATAGATTTTTATAATAGTTTTTTAAAATACATTTTGAATATCCAGAACTTGATGAAACTTCCAAAAAGTTTTAATTGAATAAATCTGTAAATTTCTATTCTATATACAAATACTTTTAGAGTCTTAAAAAGTCTACACTGAATATTCTTAAACTTTTTAAGTTCTTAAAAATATTTGAAGAGCCCTGCTACATGAAGAGGTCATGTTCAACAAGAATAATTCATATTTAAAAGTCTCAATTGAATACACCTCTCAAGCGTAGTTGTTCTGTCATTGATTCACGATTGTAACTGGTTATGGTTGATTTTTGGTGATCACATTATACTGGAGTTGATTGAGTTCGGTATCAGTGAGGTTCTCACCTTGGTAGATCTTTTAAGTGTTGTAGTCAGCTAGTATATAATTTGCTCCTTCTGCTTCTTACAAAAACTCAGTTATTTAGATCAATTAATTGGTGGAAGTTGCTGACTAGTGGACATATGGACGTTGTGATGATGACTAGATGATTTTTGCTAATAAGTGCATTTTCTGGTGTTCAATATGGCTCTTTTTTTTTTTTCTTTGGCCTTATTGTTTCCACCAAGCCTCGAACATTTTTGTCACTGAATGAGCTTATATTGGCCAATGTCTCGGTCTGAAATCCAAATACAGTTGCAAATAGTCAGAAGAAGAGTCGTGAGGCAAACCAGTTACAGGTGTTAGTAAGGTCACCATTAAGAGAACCAAAAATGTAATCCTCTGATTGATTCTTGTTCCGCTTTGTAGATGTCTTACTTTTTGGATGCAACCCTCTAACCAAGTCCCCTTCCTGTAGATATTGTTTTTCATCTCCAAACCCGATGTCTTCAAAAGCCTAAATTCTGAGACCTACATCATATTTGGAGAGGCAAAGATTGCGGATTTGAGTACTCAGCTTCAGACACAGGCGGCCCAAAAATTCAGGATGCCTGCCATAGGTTCTGTGATGGCAAAATCAGATATTTCTGCCTTGACTGCTGCAGCACAACCAGATGAGGCGGAGGAAAGGGAAGATGAAGAGATTGATGAGACAGGGGTCGAGCTTCGTGACATTGATTTGGTAATGACACAAGCTGGGGTGTCGAGAAGCAAGGCTCTCAAGACATCTAACGGAGACGTAGTCAGCGCCATCATGAAGCTTACCACCTAAAGGGAATAAAGAAAATCTTATACCTGAAATTTGCTTTTTGACATTTTTCTGTTTCATCATCTTTATCATCGAGCTTCCCCTAGTGGTGAAATTTTGCCTTTTGTTTTTGTTGGATGGCTATTAATTTTGATTAAAAGTGATTCATTTCTTTGATAATTCAAAGCGGTGTTTTAAATATTGGATTGAACAAATCAGCAAACAATTAGTTCAATCTTTTTTTTTTTTTAAATGTTACAATAACTTAAGAGCTCGTCGATTGAACTTCAAAACCGATCAGTTCGCAACCAAAACTAGTGGTACATCCCAAAATTTATAATCTTTTAAATTCTCTGTTTGCTCTTTAACCTATGAATTCTTTGCTTTTCTGAATCAATGTTAGGATCTATTTTTAATATTTTTTTTAGAAGAAGTACCGTCGAAAAGAGGAAATAAAAATTAATGATTAAAAATTAAGAGACAAAAACAAAGTAACAAAAGACACAAATGGTCACTTGTCATTATTAAGTAAATCGGCATACCACATAAACATATAAGATTGTCTTATAAAAAAGAAAAAATCAAATAGAAAGGTTCAAACTAATAACCTATTAAAAAGTCCCTAGCCTTGCTACCATTACAGGGCCTGTGTCCGGCTACACACATGGGAGGTGGGGGGCCACATTTATTTTTTAATACAATGGGTGAAGCCCGCCGCTACAGTGAGGGGCTTGTAAGGCCCCTGTGAAGAATTATTATGGTAATGAAGAAATATTCAAAAGTCTCTAGTGAAATGAATTTAATCGAGAACTTTATGGGAAAATACCTATATTAGTTATTCTTTGATCAAGAAACACATAATGATGGTTACGGACAATGGCTATGAAAAAATAATTAGGAAAATATTTTAAACTATGCATATGCTTCACAATATTCCTCTAATATATTTATGAATCAAGCTATAGGTACAGATTTTTTTGACAGGAAATTTTGACAGACACATTTGGCATGACAACAATGGAAGATGGGAAAGTCAAAAAAAAAACATGCCATTCAGGTTTGACCGCGTCAATTTCTGTATCAATTCTATCAAAAAAATGCTGTACTTGAAGCTTTATTGTATATTTATATATATAACTTAAGCATTGTCGGTAGAAATAATTTCGTATTTAAACAATAATGATCTAATTGATTTGACAATGTCTATCATCTAACCTATTATATATTTATGTATGCTACTTGTGTCTTGTTTATTATTTTTCAATAAATTATTCTCTCAAACCCATAGTCCATTAACTAATCAATGAGCAATAGACAAAAACAAAATAAAAGATATCCAATTGCACTAATTTGATCCCCTCTGATTTCGATATTTGTCGTTTAACTTTTAAATTTTTTTTTTTTTTT